CATGCACAAAATCCATAGATATGCGGATTATAGACATCAATTCCAGTCGATGTTTGGCAAGCGACTTTGTATCAATATTAGTAGGACTACAAAAGAGTTAGGATTAGATGTGACTCTGTCAAGGTTAAAGAGTTATTTTAACTTACTTGCAAAGCTGATGATTGCGATTTAGTTTCTCCTGGTTTAGCCAGAAGTTGCGAAGTGTGCTGCAATAGAATTATAAATAGTTTAGCATTTACTTAGACGATCTGTTGCATATATCAGACTGACCGCATTAAATTCAAATATACCGAAAGCACCCAGAATATTGAATTCGCATTATCCCAATTGTCTGCATGCTTTATGTTCACAATTTTGTGCTCGGACAGCCAACATATCTTCTCAATTGGATAATACAGCAAATCAACTATATTGGCAGTCACGCCCAGCATTGCCATAACCCGATCCGGTTCATTCTCTCCCAGCCCGTACTCCAGTGCATACTGTATCATGGGTATATCATCAATCAGACGTAGCGTAGCTCTAGCTCCCGATATCTTTGAGCTGGCGATCGCATAACGTTTGGCCAAGTCCGGATTTCGCTTGAGATGGTAACCAGCCACAAGCTTGGCGCTATAGCAAAGCGCTTTCATTACCTGAAAAGATAAATATATATATGTGTATAAGATGTAGAGACATAAAGATATATCTTGTGTAACGCTGCACTTGTGCTTATTTACTTGGACTTACTATTTATTTATTGCTTCCCTTTTCGCGTTGCCCTTTACTGCAATTTGTTAAATTGCTTTGCAGTAATGAAGAGATAAAAAAATATCAGCGATAAAAAGAATACAACGAATGCCACAAACATCTTAACAGCCAGCCGTGCTCCACCAAAGTGGTTTGGTGTCGCGTGGGGAATACGTTTATGTGGGCGCTTAAATGGGTTACGCTTTATGTTTATTTTATGGTTTATTTATATCAAATGGTATTTGCCTTTGCTTGTTTGCGTCGCGTCAATAAAACATAGTTAAATGTGGTAATTAAAGCAAACACCAATCAATATTTTGTAGGGTATATCAAATTTCGACATGCAATATATCCAATTAATCCTATATATAGCTGATGTTTAGCATAAAAACTTACTAACCTTTCTCTCATAGCTTATAATCTTTTTAATTTCTTGCCGGGTTAACGTTCTATACGCCTTAATCTGCAGCATTATCTTGAGTTAAGCATAGACTGAAGTCAATCAAACTGATAAAACCGAAGCTAGTGCGGAATACATATGAAAAGCGCAACAAGAAGTAAGGCAAGGTTCAATAATGCCGCTTCCGACTATGCTCAAGGTGACTAGCAACAACAAAAGACCAAAAACCTGTTAGTGCGGTAGATCGGGCCCATTAGTAAGCCTCACACCTAGGCTGCCACGCTGCATTTTTTAAAATAACAACAGTAATGAAATGTTCAAAAGGTGTTCAGATACCTTAATCATATTGGCCAACATATGCTTACCTTATCCCGGCCGCCATAGGAATCTATAATATCACAGAATTCGTTTACAAACTTTTTTGTACTGCTCATATTTCTTTTGGAAAGGTTTGTTTCCTTGTTGAATGCACAAAAATATAAATAAAATACAGTAGAAATCTACCGCGCAAACAACTGCACGACAATACAAAAAAAAATTACTATCACTTTTCGAACAGCTGTTATATTGGTTTCGATGCCATGCCCAGGTATCGATTATTTTAGCGGCTATCGTTTGTAACACTAGCGAATAATTTGACGCTGCACAGCACTGCGCATATACACAGCACGGATGCTTCAGTGAGTTGCAGGACGGGATTAGGATTCGTTTAAGGACCACGAGCGGAAATATGAGTTTGCCGAGTGCTACCAATAATCATGCATCATCACCCATATACAGCAATAAGTCAATCATAAAGAAAAGTTCAAAAAGCGATTTAATGCGGGCCGCAGTCGGTTTGTTGCTGAAGCAAAAGAATTATGTTGTAAGTAAACGCGCAAAAAACTCAATATTAATTCAATATTAACTTGATATATTTTTTAAACACATTATAGGGCAACGAGAAGTTTCGCAGATCTGATTTCCTCTTAATGCAAAACAAAAGTCAATTTGCGGTCAACAAAATGCTGGACACTGATCTCCATGGAGGCAATAGCTTCACGTATTCAAACGTCCAAGTTATAACAAACAACCAACATATGGTTGACCAGCAGTTTGGGCGCTTTTCGCAGTTTGTGGAATTGCAACCGGAGCCATTGCGCATCGAAATGAAACGCTTCTATGCGCCGATGCTGTGCCATTTGTATCTGGAGCTGTTGAAGGCGCGTGAGTCAAAGGGCGCTGTTGAGTTTCTCAAGAAGTATGCGCATCTGGTGGCACCGGTCGACCTTTACGATGCACCACTGCCCACAAAAATCAATGGCTGCTCGGTGACGAATGAGGCTCAGCTATCGGGAGCCTCCGACTGTCATATACGTTTTGCTAGTGAGGCGCAGAATACTGGCGATACAGAACTGGATTACTTTATGAAATTAGTACAAATTCTATCTGGGTGCACAAAGCTAGAAACCGCTGAGTCCGATCCAACTGTAGCGCATTTTCGAGGATCCAAATACGAGATACATACAACGGCCCAGGTGGTGGATAAAATTGGCGCCTATTTGCAGCGACGCGGCCATGTGCTAATTATGAATCTGATCTACACCTGGCTGCATATCCACACTGTGGACAATGATCAACGTCTTTTTACAGAGGATCATCTGCTGGGAATTACCGAAGAACTTGATGTGATAGACGGTTTTGAGGCTGATGAGGCAACCACACATAGTACAACATGCAACATTCGCATCGAGCACAAGCCCAGCAAGTTTGGCGAAAAGAGCACCAAGAAACGTCCTGCTGAGGAGACAACGATCAAATTGGAGTCTGAAGTTAAAGCAGAAAGCCTCTTTATGGAAGCGGAAGTGCCAGTGGCTGAGAAGAGCAAGTTCAACATTGACGCCTGCCTTGATACACTCAAATCCTCCACAGAGCAAATACTAAAAGCTCAAGCCGATTTGCCATGTTTCTATAGGGTCTGCGAGCGAACGCGTGGTCTCACTTCTGCCCATTTGGACAACAACGAATGCCACATGCTTGCAGGGTTTGATAACTCTGCCGTTCAGCTGTGGCAGCTGAACCAGCATAGCTGTAAGGGTAAGAGTTTTTATAGACGTGCTCCATACTCACAATGCGCCTGGGAGCTAAACAATTGTACGGACGACGAGCAAGAGGAACTGGATAGTGACGAGGAAGCATTAAAATGCAGCGCCGAGGAGCGACGCGAGCGCATCAAAGCATTACGCAACAAATATCCGGATAACACCTTGTAGGTACTCAACAGCTAGCCCCTTATCCAGTTGTTAATTAAATGATTTCTTTACTGCAGCAACGAGTATGGCGGCTTGCAGTTGCGTGGCCACACCAAAGGTGTTACCAATGTGCGTTTCTCGGCTCATTATCCGCTCTTCTATAGTGTTTCCAAAGACTGCACATTGCGTTGCTGGCGGGCACATAATTTGCAATGTGCAGCCATTTATCGCAGTCACAATTATCCCATTTGGTGCTTGGACGAAAGTCCCGTGGGACAATATGTATGTACTGGCTCCAAGGATTTGAGCGCACGTTTATGGTCTCTGGAGCGGGAGCATGCGCTTATTATATATGCTGGCCATACACAAGACGTTGAGGTTAAAGCGATACAATTGATATATATTTAGTGATAAACTAATAATTATTTTCACATTTTCACAGTGCATTGCTTTTCATCCGAATGGCAACTACCTGGCCACCGGCTCGGCGGATCATTCGGTGCGTTTATGGTGCGCCACCAGTGGTAAACTTATGCGCGTCTTTGCCGATTGCCGACAGGCGGTTACTAGTCTAGCCTTTAGTTCTGATGGTAAAATGCTGGCCGTTGCCGGGGATGAGTCTAAGGTGCGCATATTTGACTTGGCTGCAGGCGCGCAGCTGAGCGAGCTCAAGGATCATCCGACCAGCGTTAGCTCTTTGGCCTGGGGTGCACACAATCAGCAACTGGTCACTGCCTGCATCGACGGCAGCCTAAGATTGTGGGACATTAAAAAGCTAACGCCTATGAGGTGAGTTTAAAAAAAAAACTGGTAATTTACATTTGTTAAATCAACCATTATAATTCCACAGCGAGAGCAGCAGCGGTGGGAGCAACACCTACTCATCATCATCATCATCATCGTCGTCGTCATCAGCTACAACGAATCGTCTCTTGACTCTAAATAGTTCCTGCCAGCGTCTGGTCGATGTATTTTATGGACGCAGTAAAACGCTCTATTGCATAGGCACTTAAAAATTGTCACCTTAATTGAGGATAGTTTTTGTTTTTAAAATAATTTATTTGTAATAAGTCTGTATAATAAGTATTACTGTTGCTATCAAATGGAACAATGTGTTTTTTTTTTCTTGCCTTTTTAAATAATTCGTAATGCTTCTGAATGACAGAAAACTGTATATACTCGTATATTACAAAGTATACATACATAATCATTATTTAGTTGTTTTTATATAGATCTGCCAGCCGCTGGGCTTTATGTATTGTACAGAGCAACAATATTTGGAGCTTTCTAATGAATTTCATTTAATAAATCTAACAAAATTGTGTGTTTGAAACATTTTAATAATTATAAGCTGATATTACAGCTGCACATGCTAAAATATATTATATGCGTGTATGTATATATATATATATATATATATATATAAGCATATGTACAATTACGTACTCACAATGATTTTGGACACTCGCACAGCCCATATTGGAACAAAACATAGTTAACTTAAATGATATCGATTTGTGGTTATACAATCAATTATTTTACAATTTGTATGCACAATTTGCGCTGACTTTATGATAGAAGAAATATATTTTAATGAGCAGAAGTTGGGATGATATATGCTTTAACCAAACGATAAACTATTCGACTTTAAAAACTTAAGCTCTATTTATATAAATATGGGCGCAGAGCATGAATAAATAAATTTGTATGTAGTACACGGAGTTTTTGTCATAGTCGATTCTATTGACACACTAATACCTTATCCATTGTTATAAGTTAATTGTGGAACATAATGTGTTTGATAGTCCTGACTGTGCTTTAATAAATGTTGGGTGTAATTCATAACAAATGAGTATAGTTTGCATTAGTTGGTAATCGACTTGCTCTAACGCTTGTGACGTCCACGTATCAGCTGTAATGCCTTTGCCATTAACGGTGCCTTCTTGTTACGCATTGGAGCCGCAGCTGCGCATTGGATTGAACAACATTGTATATATTAATATATATTATTTGGACAGATCAGTATTATTTAACTCACCAACTTGAGCCGAGTCGCGCGCCGTGCTAAGCACACGAAGTCTAGCGTCGCCTACCTTGGCCGCATTAGGCGTAACACTAGATAAGGCGGCCACACGTGCCGCGGGCGTGGCAATTAGCTTGCCCTTGGTGCCATATTGTTCCTGCTTGCGCTGTACATTACGCGGTGGCTTCACCATTGAATCAACAAATGCCAATTGAGTTTTGCGCACGGGCGCTTCGCTTATTTTCTGTGATGCTTTTATACTCTCGGCAATTGTGCTAAGCTTGCGTTCCTTTTCTTCCTCGCATCGCTATAAACGTGCAACAATCATATCCATATTATTATTGTATTATTATAATTAATTAACTTCTAAATTATACGTTACCAAAAACATTTCACGCCACGTTTCCATTTCTTCCCTCCGTTGACTACGACAATGCCGCTGTACATGTTGCTGCCACAGCACATCGCTGTCCTCCATTAGATAAGGATTGTACTCTTCGAAGTTCAACAGTTGATGTGGTGTAGCGCGCTCCAGTACTGGACGCAGCACATCAAAGGGCACACCCCCCGTATATTCCAGGGCTGTGTGTTGCAAATACAAGGTAAATAAATAATAACTTGCAGCTAAATTTTAATAATTTTTCACTACCATCAATATTCTTTTGCAGTACACGCGTGCAAAGATCAAAGAGCGACGGCACCTGCAGTATTTGTCCAGTTCTGACGCCAGAGTAGATTTTGGTGCTGCAAAGCAATAGGGAGAAATAAGTGAATTTGCACAAAAGGTACTGCTGGGCAAACAACTAACCGCATTGTCTTGGATGATATGCCAGCTGCCAGCGCTTCAGACTCATTAAAATTGCGATGTGCCTTGGGCGCATTGTTGCCGAGACCATGATTGAAGACAACATCCATGACTGTTTGATTCAGCGGCATGGGCTTATAATTGTTCGATATAGTAGGCAGTTCTAATGCTATGCTGGGATCCAGAGGCTCTAGCTTAGCTGTGGGTGCCAGCAGCTCAGGTTTCTAAAATAAATCAAGCAAACATATTTATTCATGGTTAAATAATGCCTTTTCTAACTGAATTGTTTTACCTTTGTGCTTAAGAGTTTGCTGCTACTGGAAGTTGATGTTGTTGCCGTTGTTCGTTTGGTTGAACTAGAGGAAGATCCAATTGTTGTTGTAGTTATTGTTGTTGGCTTGTGGGGCGACTTGAGCTTGTTAGTAATCTTTTTGCTACTCATTGGCATGTTGAGCATACCAAGCACATCGTCAAAATTAGCGCCCATGCTGGAGTCAAACTCATCAGCGGTCTCCTTGTGCTCGACTGGATCCGCTTTGGGTTTTACTTTTGCTATTTTGGCCTTTGGCGATTCATCATCTTGTGTACGCTGCGGACTTCGTGATCGCTTGGATGACTTGGTTGACGTTGAGGAAGATTTGTGTTTGTCCGACTTTTCTTTGGCCACCTTTTGTTCGCTGTGCTGCGATTTGTCCTGCTCAATAATAAAGATGAGTATGTATTATTAGTTGAAATATCTTAAATAATTATTTACACTCACTTCTTTGCTTTTTTCATGTCTCGATTTGCTGTGCTCGCTTTTATGACTGCTGTGATGCCGCTGCTTGCTGCTGCTGTTGCTGCTGCTGTGATGGTTACCCTCGCTGCTGCTTTTATGGTGGTTGCTGCTGGGCTTGGTTACGGACTCCTTCGATTTGCGGTGCTCACTGCTGCTGCTGCTGGTTTTTTGGTCTTTGCGGTGCCTATCGCTGTCGCTGTCCTTCGGCTTTGACTTGTCGTGGCTACTGCTTTTGTGTTTCTTCTCGCTCTCCGATCGGCTTTTTGAGTGACTCTTACTGCTGCTGCTGCTCGATTTGCTCTTATGATCGCTGTTCTTGGAACGTTCTTCATGCTTTGACTTGTGCCTGTGACGGGAGTCTTCACCGCCGGAGGAATTGCTGCCTTTGTTCTCTTGATCCTGATCCTCTTCACTGGATCGCCGACCATTTGATCTGTTTGAATCCTCTTCATTTTTGTTAGTCTGTGGAGCGGGTTCCTCCTCAGCAGCGACCATAGCCTTCCATTTTGTGACTAGTGTTTTGGCTGCAACGCCGACCTCTCCGTTAATCTTTCGCAGTGCATTGACCGTTTTACCAATGCCTGTTTCCTGAAGGTGCTCGAATGTGATGGGCAGGTTAAACAGCTTTGTGATGCAGTGCAACAGCTGCGTGGACAGGTAGTAGTCGAAAAAACAGCACATATGGATTAGAGAGGGGCTTATTTAAAGAGGTGATTAACAACAATACATATATTGTAAGTCTTAGGAGCAAGGATAACTTATATGAAATAAAGTATGTATATGTACATCTGAATATTTACATACATACTCAACATCCCCTCAACATCCCCTATACCCAGAGCTCCTAACAAATAATCGTTTTTACCTAAAACACTAAAAACATATGTTCTATTGTTAGTAACAATACACATATGAGGAAACACCCACACACAGAACGAAGGCACTTTAGAAAGGTACAATATTTCTCAATTGGAAGTCATCAAAAACGTTCCAATTTTAAGATCGTTAGGCCCTTATTAACTTTATGAAAATCACATAGAAGGGCGATATTTAAGAGATGTTGTCAATAAGAGATAGAAAGAGGAGTAGAAGTAAGAGAGTAAAAGTAAGACAAATAAAGAGGCAGGAAATAACAGTTTGAGAGGGAGTGAAGGAAACGGAGTGAATATAATATAAAATAAGGGAAAGGGAGTAAGAGAGGATATGAGAGAGAGGCATTGATCACACTAAGAGATAGAGAGCATCAGTATATTAACCTTTAAAAGTACAGCTTATAATAAAATTAGATTTATACACAACTCATATAAATAAAAAATGTTGTCTTATAGAAAATGATTTGTGACGAGAAATAGAGTAGGGACGAGATTGGCATGTCTATATATTTATAATGCATACAAATAGTTCAAACATGTGCATAAAATATGTACACATGCATACGTGTGCTATGGATTTAGCAAATGCTTTATTTTTTTTACCAAAGTATGCAAATTACGAGTAATTCGCCATTGGAAGTAAAGGTTTTTCACAAATTCTTGAAATATCGTTTTAATGGAGTCCCCATGAAAAACCCCCCTAATGCTGATAGGATAGGCTGGGGAAAACTTACTCGTGTCTCATCTTCGCCATGGCGTTCAATGCTGCGTTGATAGTGGCGAACAACATCTGCCAGATTGCTAGTGGACGTCATCACGTTAGGAAAATGCACTAATCTCGCTTGGTTGTAAGTATTCGGGGCTTGGACTGTAAAAATGGCACGCAGGCAGGCAGCCTCACACTTCGACTTTTCAACTGAGTTGTATAAAAATTACGACAATGCGGGGCACAATACACACACACACACACAAATCTCCTGTGTAGGAGCACTCGTATTTGATGAATTATCTAAAGGACATAGCTGCATGAACTTTAATAATTATGTTTAATAATTATTTCACTAAACTGTGTGACTTTTCACTTTAAATTCAACGTTAGTCAACACTAGTCAACAGCTGACAGCATCTGTTAAGGTAGCTCTGTTCCAAGCGCACATTAGAGTTGCGTTATGTTGGCTGCGGACTCAGCTGTTTTGGGCAGTTGACGGTTTGATATCGATACATAAGTCAATCGATACTGCATCAACAACACTACATGCCTTGCAGTGTTGGCAACACTGTGCCCATTTTGTTGTGAATTATTGTTAATTTTTTAATTTAATTTGTACAAATTGTGCATACGCGTGCAAAGTCAGCGAAACACTTGCGACTTGAGTCCAGAATGTGCCAGTTTCTATAAACTGCTAAAAACCAATAGAAAAAACGAGCGCGCCCAATCGAAACGTGTTAAAAAATGACCATGGGCGAGCGTGAGCCAACTTCGTCTCTCGTTCTGCCCGTTATACTGAGGCCCATTTTCACACAGGTAAGTTGGTTCACATAGCCCGAGACTCCACAAGAGCGACGTGGGGGGCGTTGGCGTTGCCTGTCCCAGTTAAAATGTAATGTTGCGTAAACGTTAATTGTTTACAGCTCGAGCGACGCGACGTTGGCGCGGCGCAGTCACTGCGCTCGGCCATACTAAAATCGGAGCAGAACAATCCGGGCTTCTGTTATGACCTCGTTGCGTCGATCGTGCGACGGGCCGATCTAAATGTCAACTTAAATGAGGCCGTCTTGCGTTTGCAGGGCAACATCACGGAGGCAGATCGTAAGTACACACACCTGCACACACGACTGCGATGGTGTGTGTGCCTGTGTGCAAATGCGATTGTTTCCATTTGTGTTCATGCATTTTGTTGTTTTTTCTTTGTCCCAATATGTGGCGCAGTTAATGAATATCGTTTGACACGCACAGAGGAGCCGTTCCAGGAGCTGAATCGCAAATCAGTTGCACTAAAAGTGATACTCAGTCGCATACCAGACGAGATCAACGATCGCAAGACCTTCCTTGAGACCATCAAGTAAGTTTAGATTCCACGTTGAAATCCATGTGTATATTAAACATTTTCTGTTGCAGGGAAATCGCCAGCGCCATAAAAAAACTGCTCGATGTGGTCAACGAAATTGGTTCGTTTATACCGGGCGTCACTGGCAAGCAGGCTGTCGAGCAGCGTAAGAAGGAGTTCGTCAAATATTCAAAGAAGTTCAGCACAACGCTGAAGGAATACTTCAAAGAAGGACAGTAAGTTGGCTCATTGTTATCGTTAATTATGTTGGCGCCGTCTGTAAACGGCCAAACGGAATTCGACTCACTATCAGCTGGTTTCTTTAATCGTCTGATATCTGGTTTCTTATCTTGCCTTGTGCTGACCGTACTCCGCACACATGATGTCATCCCATTCGCGTTCCAAACTTGTTTATCTATCAGTTTAGTAGTAGAAGTTCTTCGACTATGTGCGCGTATTGCAATTTATAGTCGTACACAAATCGCATTAGTCACTATAAAGGTCTTCGAGGCGTTGCCGTGATATGGAATATATTTGTTATGGAAAATCGATTGAATATAGTTTGATAATTAAGTTTATTTGTGATTTGTTCTCGCCAATTGCATGTTTAATCTCTGTTTTCATTTCTATTTTCAGACCGAATGCAGTATTCATAAGTGCACTTTTTTTAATAAGGCAAACGAATCAAATTATGCTGACAGTTAAGAGTAAATGCGAGTAGAAAATTAAATGTTTTAATTAATGCAAAACTTAGTGGCATTTTAATTTTATGTTTAACTAACTATTAAACAACACAACAAACTAATAAAAAACAACAAAACAAAGCAAGGAACACAATCTGCAATAGGAATCCATAGTCGCATACTAGAGAGCCGATAGCAGCGAGAGCTTGTTGTAATTAAAAACAAAATGATAAATAGGCCTAATGTATTTAAATAATTGTAATCACTACTAAATTCCAATACAAAAGCAAAAACAAAATGAAAACCTAAAATGTTAGCTATTCGAATTTGATTTAAATTTTTTTTCTTTGTATTTAGTCAATTGTGCGCGCGTGTCTTTTTTGTGTGTTGGTTTACAATTTATTGTAAATAATTCATTCGCTTTCTGTTAATATGATCATATATATTTGCTTGTATTAGGGAAACGCGAACATAAATAAAAATAAACATAAATTTAATGTTAGCAAAAAGAAAATAAATACGAGACACAGGAATGTTCTATGAAAAAGAAAGATATAAACACTAAACAAAAAAAAAACATTTGAATTTTTAACTGTTTTTAATTGTTAGATTTGAAATTCAAAACTTTACATATAAACAATAAACTTATTTAATGATATGTTCAATTTGAAAACGCTAAAGACATTAGCTGAGATCGCCAGCAAACAAGAAGAAAAATTATTTTATTTTTAATAAATGTTATATGAAAAAATTAAAAGATAAAACAAAGGAGACGTAAAACTCATATTGTAGAAATAGGAAAACAAACGACAAATAAATGTATTTATATTCAAAAATTGCATTTCCTTACACTTAACATTTGCTTCAGACTGTTAAGTTAACAGTAACAGCGTATTAACATTTGCAACCCCGAAAGAGAGTGAAAGACGCGTCAATGCAAAAACTTTGAGAAAATTTCCCATTTTTCAGTGTCATTTGACAGAAAAATCGATTCGTTTTCACACTGGGCCATTCTGGGCAGGCAGTTGGATAGAAATCAGAGTACAAACCAGCCGAGCAGCGCGACCGAGATGACCCACTTTTCGGTTTTCGCATTCAAAACTAACTGCTATACCAAATAAAGTTGCAATTTTTTTCTAAACTAGCATTTAGTTAAAACGCGTTGTATATCATGTAAAACTTAATTCCGTTAACTAGTGTAAACTCTATGCATTTATGTAAATTCTCGAAGGCAAATGTGGATGTGGAAATAGGCGACCTGAAAAACCAGCAATTCCCACAGCAATCAAAAATCAGCAGCAAAAAGGTTTGCTAAATGTTCGAGTTTTCGTTTTTGAACTATTTAGTAATGCTTTAACACGGGTATCACAATCTTGCACAATTTTGTTAATTGAAAACAAAAAGTTGGTCAAACCAGTGCCGAAATTCAGGACGAGCACTGAAAAACGATGGCTGCCAGTGGCAGTGGCCTGGCGAGCGAACGGGCATACGGAAAATTTCGCTGTACACCAAATGGGGAAAATGTTTTCTCAGCAGCCGATGAACTCGCCCCACTGCTGCTTGGGGCATGTGTAACGTGAAATGTTTGCATTGTTCTAACAATAAGAAGAGGATTTTGTAAAATAAAAAAACCTACTCATTTATACGCGTGTGTAAAACAAACAATTGAAATTTGAGAAAGTTTTCTAACATTTAAACTGCAGTGTTACAAATTGCATTTTGCAAAATGATAAAAGACAAAACGGGTAATGTGAAAAGTAAAAGTGTTAGCGCTTGCCACTGGGACTTCGGCAGTGGCATATCGATGAAACGATAAAAAATTGCTAGCAAGCTAACGTTAAACTTACATACATATACACCCACACACACCCACACACACACACGCAAAACGCGCGCACGCAAAGGCAACACGAATCCCAATACAATTGCGAATATTTGTGCCAATGCAAGCGGAATATTGAATGAAAACTAAATAAACATGTGGGCATGTATGTGTGTTAATGTTATGCTAAAATGCATAGAAAGTCGCTCAAATTGTCAAACTGTATATGTGCAAAAAAAAGCGCAGTGGAAGTGGAGCACGGCAGCAGTTTGCGGTTCATAGGACTGGGCGTATGTGTGTGCATGTGTGTGCGTTTCATATTCATAGTCGCAGTAACAGCCGCAGTCGCAGTAGCCATGATAGCAGCAGCGGCAGCAGCAGCAGCGGCAGCGGCACAAGATAAATGAAAAGTGCCACATTTTGCTTTTGGGGGCGGTTTTGACACTTGGCGCGCAGCAGCAGCAACAACAACAGTTATGCCGCGTGGGTGGCGTAAAAGTTGTTTGCTGCTCTGCGTGCGTAACAGAAAGCACAATCAGTTATGTACAAATATATACACACATACATATACATATATGTACATAGAAGCCGTGAAAGAGTGAGGCACCAAGAGCAGCAGCGGCAGGGGGGCAGGTGTTTGCCATGCGGTTCTCTTGTGTCACTCGATGTGCGTGAGTATGTGTGTGTGTGTGTGTGCATGTGCTTGTGTGTGTGTGTGTGTGTAAACAGTAACAGCAACAAAAATAACAGCCATGTCGACTGCGCCTAAACGCTGTAACAACTATTTTTGGATTTATTCGCAATTTGTATTTCCGTTCATTTATTAGCATTGTTGTATTTTGCTGTTCTTATTATATTACGCTTAAGTATGTGGATTTATAAAACGTTTTCATTATTAGCAAATGCAACGATCTAATGTCACGCGTTGCCCAAAAACAAAAAGTCACAATCCGTGTGTGTGTGTGTGTGTGTGACAGAATTAATCGTGCAGCATGTTCCGATTTGACATGTGGCTATCATTCAATGGCATATTTTCTACAAAAAAAAAATGAAAAAGAAGCAAGAGATGGTGGCACAATCGGGGCTCGATTTTACACATTTCTCCCGCTTTGCCCAAAAAACTATGCTACATTTTGTGAGTGTGTGTGCTTTTGTGACCCGCATGAGTTCTGTTTCCAGCACCATGTGCTATGTGAGTGTGAGAGTGTGTGTGTGTGTGTGTGGCATGTTATAAATAGGCAAGATAGTTTTTGTGCTGTTTGGCTCCTCTACGTCTCTTTAGATTTTTTTTTGTGCTATTGAGGTCAAACTGTCAGAAGGATAGTGAACTTTATAAAATTTCAAAAGCCAAATTGGTTAACTTTAAAGAGGTTTCTATGTACACACAAGTAGCTCCGCCTGATTAAATTTGTTGCATTGTGGACCACAGTGCTCGTCTCTTAAATAAATAAGCTGCCTAAATATAGTCACCCCTGCTTCTAGGTATAAATTGTCATGGGCTTTTATTAGAAAGAATATTCTTCTTTATCATTCCAATATTTCTATATTAATGCCCTTTGTCCTCACTGAACGATTGACTCACTCATTTTTTCATTCAACCGGCTTGAAAATTATTTTCAAACATTTATGAAAACTATATTTAAAATTAAAATAAAAATACTGATCTCTAAAATTGAAAGATTTACTTGGTTCAGCTCTACCTCTGTATTCATGTGCCCTGCAAAGTATGCAATAAAATGTATTGCTGTTTCCGCTAGTTCATTTAGTTGAGTCAAAGCGAGAAACTTAAACCATATGCAAATTTATTGGGCTTCTCGGAAAACTTCGGTGACACGAATTTCAATGCAACTTGCAAGTTTCTAACCTCAACGTTCTGTTTTGTATTTTTCTTTTTTGTTCAAATTGAAGTACATCAAAAGTAAACGTGCCAAAAACCAAGAAAGTTGGCAACAGTTTTAATATTAATGACACTGCAACTTTGCCCATTGGCACTTGTAGTTTTAATTAGGACTATTTTCAGTGCTTGCCGCAGACATCCATCAAGTTTTCTCATACAACACATAAGACACACATGAAATGGTATTAAAACCATGTGAATTTTCCATTTAATTTACTCGAATGGCAATTGCCGAAAATTGGGTTAATAGACTGTAAAGCAGCGTCAGGCTGCAACCTACATTCAATTGGGATTGGGCTTGGGATGTGGGCCAGGCAGAAGCAATAAGCAATAAGACAGCAAAGAAGAGAAAAAGCGAGCGGGTCGTGTGGCTAATCCGTGCTCGGAGAACTCATTAAAATTTAAAGCATTTGCCAGCAGCTGATGTTGCTGTTGCGTCTTTATTTTGTCTGTTGCTCATCTACTTGTGCTAACTAAATATTTAATTATTAAACGGAATTCCTCTGTTTGTAGACCTATTTGAACGTTTATGTATAGAATAAATGAAATGAACAGCACTTATTATAATGTAAATGGCTGGGAATATGTCATATACAGACCTGTCCAAGATACAGAGCCTCGTGCTACCACTGTTGACCATCAAGAAAATTATGAAAAATACAAGTGAAAAGTAAAGAAAACCCTCCCACATGCACATACTCACACAAGGGCTATTTAACGCCCACTTCATAATCATAATTAAAAATTTTTGCGGTGCCCAGACATGAGGACAAACAGCGCTGTTAACGCATTTACAGGTCGACCGTCTGTTAACATGATGCCATTGCGCATGCGCCAGTGTTGGTAAATTGCACTCTCTTGCTGGGACTTTTACTCATGCGACATACGCTCTAACCAAAGCTGGGGAGCACATAACTCAATCACCGAAACTCGCGCCCACTCACACAACACACAGACAATGCTGCCATCTTGTTCGCACACTCAAATTGCTGTGCATACTTTTGCAGTTAAGCCAAAGCAATAAACGACATTGTTGCTGTTGTTGCTGCTGCTTTTGCAGTCGTACACACACACACACACACACACACACTGTTACATGGGAGCAGAAGCAGAGCAGTCGGAGCACTGTGCATAACAGCAACTAGTGGCCGTAATGAGACTTTGCTGCTGTTGCGCTTCGCATTTGACTGCGCTCCGCTGTGCTGCACACACGTCTCATTATAACGCTATCAGCAAAGTATACACACACACACACACACACACACACACATACATACACACTTAGAAAACTGTAGTGAAAAAAAAAACGACCACAGTTACTATAAATAACTGCAGCTGTCCGCTCAACTAATTGTGCTGCATTAAGTTCTTCAGGCAATGATTTGATTCGATAAGCAAAATGTTGTTAATATATAGTGTTTAATGTTTCACACAATGGACAGAAAGTGTAATTCGAGGTAAGCGTTATCCTTGATATTTGACAGAGAACATGCAATAAATGAA